CTCTCTCTCTCTCTCTCTCTCTCTCTCTCTCTTTCTTTCTTTCTTTCTTTCTTTCTTTCTTTCTTTCTTACAGAAGAGAGGATGTGAATTGAAGATGTCCTCTTCTGAGGTTATACTAATCCACCTAGACAATGCTGTCTCCTCTGGCTATCTAGTCTGCTGTGGAGAGGGGCCTTCCCTGCCCTGGTACCTGTGAATGAATTTTATTATGAGAAATGAGGCCTTGGACTGAATATTTTTAAAATGAAAAACATGGGCCTTGTATTTAGCAGTGGGGTCTCCAACAACAGTTCACTGTACCACATAACTTTTGAAACTGAGCTGAGTTTCAAAAGTACCTTACAAATATGGCATGGGTTCAAAAAGAAAAGAAAGTAAAAACAAATTCTTCTGGATGAATGGAATCCCTGGAGTTTTTTAAGAGCAAACCTATATCTTAGAAGAATGTGAGGTTTTAAAAAATTCTATTACTTCTGGAAGTGGTGTGCTTGGCACCAGGATGCAGATTTTGGAAGCAAGAGCCCTTTTTAGGGTATAGTGCACTGTATTTCTAGTAGTCACTGGGAGAAATGTATATTTTTCAATGTTAAATAATTTTCTCAACAGAAGTTATATTTAATGTGAATGTGAGATTTGCTTCATCATTTAATATGGAAAGTAAAGTTAAAGGGACCACCCAGGAAGTTGCTTGCCTCTTGAGAGATGAAACTGTCAGGCCTTACTGATGATTGATGATTTCAACCGATTCCTTAAATAGCCTAGTACCGAGTTATAGCTCAGGTTCTTTTTGAAAGCTTACTGAATAATCCAGCTCTGTTCAGACAATCATATTTTAGGTTTTCCATTTTGTATCCACAAGCATGTTCTTCTCTCAAAGGAATTAGGGGGTGGGTAGTGCTTAAAAGACATTCAGGCAACCGGAGAATGAAATGATTAGGAAAAAGAAATTGAATAACCAGAAGTTAAAATGATGATGCTACCACTGTTTATCATTTATTGGAGATGTTGCATCATTCTTTTTTCTCTCAGAATTGTAATTAAAGAACCTCTTATGCTTTTGTTGAGACTGAGGCCCTTTCCATACAGCAGCCTTAAGCTTCTTCTTCTGTTTGTAAACTGGATGGAAATGAAGCCGTCTTAAGAAATCCCTTTCTGGATTTCAGGCCTTCTTCCACTTCGGCCACAGCGATGTCTTGATGTTCAACATGGACCATATTTCCTACATCCCCTGATTGATGAATTCTCCTGCTTCTCCTCTTGGGCCAGTTAAAGAAGAAGATCAAAGTTTTACCATATACTGGCAGAACTCTTGTCAATTTCATCTGCTTTCTTTTTTTTTAGACTGATTGAAGTTTACTGATGGAACAGTGAAAGGATAGATTTAACTTGTAAAAAGAAAAGAAAAACGACAGGTCCATCATTTTACTGTTTCATCAGTGAACCTGTTAAAAAAAAAAATTAAGCCCAGCTTTTCACCATTCCATGGGTGAACTTGTTAAAAAAATGACCGTGGAGGGCAGCAACCGGTGACTGGAAGGGAAGGAGCATTCCTGCCACAATGCATAGTAACCAGCTGGAGTGGACGTCTTTGCCTACAATGCAATGATTGAAATGGAGCACATGAACCAGACAGCACTGCTTGAATCAGGACAAGTCAGAAAACACTACTTTTGATTTGAAGTAGAAAAAAACAAGTGAAGGCTGTCTTCTTGATGAGCTGGGTGCAAGTGGAGGATAATGTTGTGCCTTCCTGCCCTTGAGAAATTGTCAGTTCAGTAATCCATACTTGTCCTGGGACAAGCTGATCCTCTGGATCAGGCCTACTCTGCAGGGCTTATTCTTAGTACAGCAATGCATGTCTTATATTCCACTCTGCATTCAGAATTTTCCAATACAAAATGCATGTGGCTACATATTTTGCAATGATGACTTGGAATTTTGTTCCCATTCCCATCTGTTTTTCACTCCAATCCATGAGTAAAGAAAAATGCAGAGTACTGGTACATAGCAGGGGCTAGGAGTGCTTCTTTCACTTGTTCTTGAAAGGGATGTGTCCATTGTTACTTTATAGAGCAGTGTAATTGTCTTCTATAATATAAACAAAAGACAAGTTATTGCCTCTAGAATCAGGTAACCTCAATGTAAAGGAAAGAAGCTGAATAGGAAAAAAACTCTTTCCTCTTATATCACCTTTCTTTCAGATGGAAGCAGTGACTAGTGGAGGTATTTGGATTAATTACTGTATGAATTTTATTTATTTACTTTGCTGCAAAAGCTTAGCTTTAAGCTGTTTGTGAGAGGAGCACAAACAACACACTGTACTACCTTTTAGTGTGAAGTGGTGTTTAATGGGTAACCCATTTCTTAGTTGTGCTGCTTGTTGGATTCATCTCAGCTTTGTGGGAAGAAGAGCAAACCTGCATAAACTGTGCCTCAGTTATCAGCGATAATTTACTGCACAGATATTTAAACCTATGGTTGTGGTTTTGTTACAGAACAAAAATCTGAAAAGAATTTTCTCGGGAATTCAACCAACTGGGATTCCTCATCTGGGGAATTATTTTGGTGTCATCACAAGTTGGGTGAAGCTACAGGAAGAATGTAATTCTGTATTATACAGCATTGTGGACCTCCACTCCCTCACTATACCAAGAGAGCCAGCTGTTCTACGTGAAAATATCCTAGACATCACCGCTGTTCTCCTGGCCTGCGGCATAAACCCCCAAAAGTGCTTCCTTTTCCAACAGTCCCAGGTTTGTCTCTTTCTCTTGAGGTTTCTGCATGGTTTGTTCTTGATCAAACTGTATATATGTCCTTATGCTGTTGCCTACATATCTACATCAAAAGTCAAAGCTAGTTTTGAATAATCCTTGAGGGTATTTCCTATGAAAAATGGACAGGAAGATTATCAGCCTTCTAACAGAATTGCTTCTGGGCTCACTAACAAAGAATAAATCTTTTTGGTCAGAATCTTTAGAACTAAAAGGCACCTAACTATGCATCAGAGTGTTCTTCTTGCCCCCTTTATAGCCCTGGCCTGCATCAGAGATTTAAATGGGGGAGGGGAGAATACAAGAAAAAATGTATTGTATTGTGAGGCTGAGTTTTTATGGTTTGAGTATTTGCATCTGCAGTGTGGAGGAAGAGTTGCTATAAGGAGGAGAAAGGAGTTCTATTCTGGTGTTGAACTGCAGTGGTCAGAAGAAGGAATAGAAAGAGTATGCTGGTTGTAGCCTTAGCATAGCATCAGGATCCCTAGGATCCGGAGGGAAACAGCACTGGTGCTGGACAATAGCAGCAGGAATAGCAGGAAGGAGACTTCAAAATAATTTTGCATTATTTATGAACTCAGGCGTAATAGTGGTAAAGAGGAGGCTCTGCAGCATTCAGGCAGTGGCAGGAATGAGAACCGCAAACACGGGAGAACAGACAAATTGAGGGTAGGAGACTCAAAACTGATACCCATATTGTGCTAACTCATGATTGCTGTAACCAAGATTTATTGAATAGGCTGCAGGTGGACTCAGTTTACATAACCCATGGAACCATAAGCCATTAGTTACATAATAGGATAAGTCAGAACCAAATAAACTACATGATTTAGTGCAATGTATGAACACAAGCTAAGTGCAGGATGCTGTCTTCCCTCTGTGTCTGGCTTATAACAAATTTTGTTGAAGACTGAGAGCATGCTTCTTAGTTGCAATCTTGCATTGAAGGATTGAGTAACATAATAATAATGTTTTCATTTGCTTACTTTCCACTTCTTTCCTTCCCCCAAAGCATATAATCCTCCTCATGAACATTGATTTAATAGTAGGGTTGTACCCCAAGTATATATGCACAGAATGACGTCCATGAACAGGAATGTTTTGTGCCAGTGAAATAATTTGTAAAGTATCTGCATTGGGCTGAGTTTATTGTCCTGGCTTTAGTTTGCCCTTACCAGTAGGAGGCAGACCCAAGTGACCACAGAACCTCCTGACCATATATCTTGTGATCATTGACTGCCTCCAGAAGGACAAGGTTCCCAGCGCTTTCCTTCCAGTGCCACAATTAAAATGCCCCCAGTTATGCCATTTGGCAGGTCAAGGCAGAGGCTTGCAGGAAAAAGTTTTCCAGACCCTGTGTTTTTATGGGAGACTTTTTGATTTGGGACATATTTATTCAAAAGGAGATCCCATTTCAATGGGTTCAAATGTTTATTTAATAATAATAACAAAATATTCTATTTTTTTCTGAGTTCTGTGTAAAAATCTACTTTAGAAATTAACTTTTTGTTATAGGAGGATTGCAGTACCATTGTGTTTATGTATTTTAATTTAAAATTATTTTAGGCTGCCCTTAAGGATGGAACTTGCCAAAGGCAGCATCTGTAATAAAATAAAAATATAATAAAACAGTAAAAAAGAAATTTTACAATTAGCTAGGAATCAGGGGTTAGCTATTAAGCTTTGGGCATTTTTGTGGCCTGACAGACGAATGAAATGCACGATTAAAATACAAAATGCATAGATTGCCCAAAACTTAGTTTTACTAATTTACCACCAAGTTAAAGAAAAGAGAAGGGAAGGGGAGGGAGAGGAGGGGAGGGGAGGGAAAGGAAGGGAAGAATTATTGAAATAAATATAGACTACAGGTTTGGAACAGGTTTGGGAGACAAACAACATCATCTTCTAATGGCTGGGAGAGCTCTGACTTGATTATTCTGAATTAAGATCTTCCAAGCAATTATTCCATAGGATCAACAGCTGGCATACTGTGAAATGTGTGCAGATGTTCTAACTGCTCAGAAGTGGTTAAGCCAGCATGCAGCCAAAAGACCAAGATAGGAGTAGAAAGCGAAGCGAAGCAAGTGGTGTTGTCTGAGTGTGGTCAAGCGCTAGTCTGTATATACCTATATACATGAGGATGAGGCTGTATGAAAGAAAGTGAAGGGTAAAGAAATAACCAAAACTCTTGAAATGCAAAAGGAAGGTTTTTTTATTCCCTCCCCCCGCCCCCTGCTTAATTTCTAGGAATTGTTTAGTCCCTAATGTGGCGTTACAACAGCTTCAGCAAAACAAAAACCAGTTGCAACAGTTAAAATAACTAAAAATTTCCCAAGAGATGAAATGGCAAACATGAAAAGGGAACTTAAATACATCAGAAGAGAACCCTTTGCCAGATCCGATTTCAAAGTAACACTGTCTCAGAAGAGAAGAGAGGAAAGAACTGATGGGGGACAAAACACACCCTATTCAATGAAAACATTCTAACCCAACCTGACTCAAAGTAGAGTATATGGATAAGTCAGATTGCATCTTGTTTATTGGACATTAATATTCTTTGCTCATTCAGCGGTCTTTACAATAAATGGAATAGTTCTCTTTCTTAGAACTAATGTGTCAGATTTTTTTTCCTTTTCAGACTTAGAGGGTCTTTGTAATAGTTGTGTGCTACTAGATATAGTACAGAAAAGGAGCAAATATGCTCTTGAATGCAGAATGACAGATTCAGCACACAGTTCCCACGGAGCTACTGTCTGAACTCTTGCTTTTGATTCCAGATTCAGATTGAGACAAATCTGGTTCTCTGTTCCTCCTCTAGCTGAAGAGTGTCACCTTCCAAAAATTCCAAGCTGTCAGGAAAGACTAGAGCTGTAGAATTTGTTTTAATTTGCTGCCATTAGCTAATGCTAACCATCTTCCTGACCATTAATAAGCAATCATCTTAATAAGCTCAGACAATGTAGCAACAATAATAAGAGCTTTGATTTAACTATTTCATAGTTTCTATACCCATAGGTTTTTGGTAGTTTGGATCCGAGAGATCTGGAACTGCTATTTGGCTCTGAATTTCATTGGCTGAGTTAAAAAGGAAAAATCTGGAAATGCTGCCAGTGGGATACATATGTTAAATCATTCAACATTAGTACAACAATCCGTTTATTTGAAAAATATAATTTATTAGAAAACTATCCAAAGTAGATTAGATTAACAGTAACCCACACAAATATCTATAACAAAACAGAACTCATCAAAATATATGAGAATTTAAAGTCAGAATCTAAAGATAAAGTGAAGACACTGATCAGGTAATGTTAACCAGCAAAGGAAATGGGCTTGGGTTATCTGTCCTGGAAGACGATAATCAAGAAACAGTCTCAAAATTAATTTTATGCCAACTGTTGTTGGATGTTGCTGTTGGTAGTAGTTGTTGTTATTTCAGAAAACCAACTAGCCCCATTTTTTAACCAAATAAAATTGAAATATTTGTGAATAGCAGAATGAAATGAATATGAGAAAGAGTATATTAAATAGAAATACACTTTATGAATCAGACCAAATTATTGAATTGATGCTTAGTCAGAGCTCTGGAGATCAGTAGGAGATGCAGCATATTGGATGATCACATCTTTGGGAAATTAACCTGGGTAAACTATAGTGGAATTTATAATACTGAGGTTCTACATATTTTCAGCTATACTGCAGGCTTTGATGCCTAAGGCGGGACTAGAACTCACGTTTTCCTGCTTTCTAGCCTGGTGCTTAACCACCTAATATTAGAAAAGCTGTTAAGAACAAAATTAAATGACTGAATCAAGTATATAATGCCAAAACCCAATCTTAATTTCTAGTCATCTGCTCCTCCTCACTACCTCTCTCTGAACCTGTTCTAGTTTGTCTAAGTCTTTCTTAAAGTAGAATGATTACTTCTGTTGATGCGACTAAAATAGCATATAACTTTTTGCACCCATGTTAATACTGTAGACTGATATTCATTTTGTAATTAACTGATCTAAAACCTTTTTCACAAGTACCATTTCCAAACTATCAGGAAGTCACAGGATTGTAGGTTTATTTATTTATTTATTATCAAACTTGTATGCCCCCCATCTCCCCCAACGGGTGACTCTGGGTGGCTCACAATAATAAAAAAGGAAAAAACACAAGTCCCTCCAACCATGGATAAAATCTATAATAA